CGCCGTGACGTCGGGTGCGCCTTGAAGACCGGCGTTCGCATCCTTCTTGCCCGTTTCCTCAGTGGAGGGGTTCGCGTTGTCATCTCTGTCCGCGCCACGCGTGACACCGCCGGGGGGCCCAGCGGCGCCGCCGCCGCTGCGAGTAGTCGCCGCATTACTTTCGGCGATCGCCCCCGCTGCTCTTGCCGCATCCCCGCCGCCAGGCTCACCCTCACGCTGAGGGACTTCCTCTCGTTGCTGCGTGGCATCGGGCGATGGAGCGGCGTCGGAAACTCCCGCGGCGGTGGGAGGCCGTTGAGCTGCCTCCGCTTGAACTTCAGAATTTGCATCCGTGTTGCCGTCTGGGGTGCCCGCGTCCCCTCCTTGTCTGCCCTCTTGCGTCGCTGCCTGAGCTTTTTTGTTCTCTCCTCCTCTCCCGGCAGACGGAGTATCGCCCGTTGCCGGATTTTTTCCCTTTTCTCCAACGGTCGCTGGCGGCGGGCTCCGTTGCGGTGTGCCAGGCGGTGGTGATGTTGGCACCTGTGCGAGGATTCCTGCCACTCCGGGGTTTGCTGAAGGCGCGACCGGGCCTGTCGCCCGCCTTTCCCCCTGCGCCGCATCTTGCGATGGTTCGCTGCTGCCGCCTGCGGAGTTTACATCTCCTTCTTGTTTCATGGTCGGGGACGACGACTCTTCATTTGTTGCTTGTGGGCCTTCCTCGGACCTTGTCGGTGCCTTTTCTTCCCCCGTGCCCCCGGGATTGCCGGTGCCAGCGCTGCCCCCATTTGCGGTAAGTTTATGTTTGATTGCCGCCTGAAAAGTTGCGTTATGCCTGCAGTACTCATCCAGAAGTTCCGTGGCATTTTTGCCGGAATTAAGCAACTTCAAAAATTCCCAGTTCTCCTCAGTGCAGTAGTCCATATCCCACGCCCGGCCCCCGCCGGCGGCGCAGCACAGCGCGCAGAGGGCGCACACCAACAGCGCACGGCCAGCCATCGCCACACTCCTCCCACCGCAGCACAACACACA